GAAGACGCAAGGCCAGGGGCAAGGCGCACCGGGGGTCCGATGGGTAAGGGGCGCGCGGGGCTTGATGGATGGGAACCAAGACCTGATAAGGTCAGGAGCGGTCGCGGTGGGATAGGATTGGGAGCGGGGTTAGGCCCAATAAAGGAGAGTCCTAAGGCGTGGTGGGGAAAGGGACGCGAGGCTCCGCGGGCGATCGGAAGCCCAGAATAGGGTCAGGGGCCGCGGTGGGGCTGTGGCCACCTCAGAAGTCCGCCGGGATCCTGGCCGAGGCCTGTCCTTTGCAGAGCTAGGGACGCGAAGCACACGATGGCGGCTGCGGCGCTGGCGAATGTTTGGGCCCCGCCTGGGCCCCCCGAAGGGGTCGAGGTGCAGAGGAGGGGGCGTGCCTCTGCAGCAGACAGGCGGGCAGAGGGCGGGGCCTGCGGGACTTGGCCTCCGCGCCGGCGCCCTGCTCGCCCGCTGCTGCAGGGCGGAGCTTGGTCCCAGCTGGGGAGCTCGGAGGTTTTGCTGCCTGTACCTCGCCACCGCTCGTTCCCGCCCGTCTTGGAGGAAAGCCGGGGGCGAGGGGCCTGCGGCGGGGGGGGGGGCGTCCTTTTAGTCCTCCTTCCTGCTGCCGGAAGTGCCTTCCCGTTTCCCAAAGCAAGAACTGGGAAAGACCTTGGAGGTCATGTCTACCCCCTCCCCATCCTGTCTTTTTCTTCCCTTCCCTCTATCCTTGTTTACTCCTCGTCCAGTCTGTACCCCGCCCTTCAAAAGTGAAAAGATGGTAAGACAAAAACGGGTCCGTTTATTAGAGTCAGGGGAATCAGCTTTGGGCAGCAGCAACAGAGGGAGTCTTCACGTAACTCTTCATGGGGGGCAGTGGCCTAATCTTTCGGCCAGCCCAGCCTCCCTTGCGTTGCCACAGCCCACTGTTAGGCCTCTTGCCCAGCCAGCGGTTCCGTCCTGCCTTGCCGATGACTCGTTGGTTATGATCAACGTTGGAGACTCGGCCTACAGTTGCAATGCATGTCTCCAGCACCTGACAAGAGAAGCAGGCGAGAGTGCACCGTGGGGACAAGGGGCAGGCATGGCAGTGCTGAGAGCACGACTCTGTGTGGCTTCTTAAACTCAGTGAGGGAAGGGAGAAGACAGAAAACACAAAATAGTAGACTATAAGTGTGGGTTCGACAGGATGAACTGAGTAGATAAAAAGACTACCCTTTTTGTTTGTTTGTTTCTATGGCTTTCTTATGGAGTCCGGCTGTTCTGGCACTAGCTATGTAGACCAGGCTGGCCTGGAACTCAACAAAAGCCCCCTGCCTTTGCCTCTTGAGCGATGAGATTATAAGCCAGTTCCAGCCAGACTGTTCAACCCTGTCTTCTCCTGGTTTCCTGAAATGGTGTCATGTAGCCTAGGTGGCTTCATTCTTTTGTCAAAGTCTGGAATGCTGGGATTACAGGCATGTATCACCATGCCCAGCAGAGAAAAGGCATTTCTACTTATTCCACTAAGGTGCCAACCTGACAAGGCATGCTTAGTCAGGTGGCAGAGAGAGGGACAGACACAGCTGCAGGTAGTCCCTGGCATCATAAACACTTGGGAGCTGGCCAGGTACATTCCAAAAATTCCTTCTTTGCTGACCCCTCCCACTTGTGCCCATATATACCTGCATTTGTCTCTTAGAGGGCAGCTGGATAATGGCTGTTCCATTCACCTTCCGAAGCAGCACGCCACATGTCCCTAGGGAACAGAGAAGCATCTTTGCCACCCTCCACAAATGAGAGGGAGGTTTCCATGGGGATCTAGGCCATATGCTACCCTTTGCCCTTCAGGGGTGCGTGAAACATAGAAGAGTACACACTATGACTTAGGTTAAGACAAAGCACACATTCATCCTCTTGTTGCTTGTTTCTTCCTGTCTGCGGAACAGATGCGATCCTAAGGGTTCAGAGGATAGTGATATCTGGTAGCCCCTGGTCTTCTGAATTGTGGGATGTGGGTGGATTCTTTTCCCATACCTGCAGCTCTGATATACTGGGCTCCTCGGCCAGGCTCACTTTCCACATTGTTGATGAGGGTCCCCACAGGCAGCGCCCCAAGAGGATGTGCATTCCCTTCCTGAGCAGCCACTACAAGACAGGGTTTCATCAGCACTAAACCCTTTGCAACCTCCATCCTACTCATCTGGTGGCCATCGCTCACCTGCCATTCTGCCTATATGGTTAGAATTCAGGATTGTATCTCCCGCCTTCATGTTTTCTGTGGCAATGATCCAACGTTTCCGGCTGCCCCCAGCAACCAGAGCTATGTCTGCAGACCTGTTCAGGATGATGGACAAACAAGTGGACCACCAAGAAGGCCCACATTTTCTAAGAAGCTACAAAATAACAATTCAGACCACACCATCACCACCTCACATCCCAAACTTGCCTACATGGATCATAGCGGACAACGACAACCTTCTCCTCAAAGGGTTCTGGCTTGGTTTCTTTCTCTGGTCGGAACCGCAGAAAGTCAATCATTCTATAGTTCCTCTTGTGGCCCCCACCAATACCATGTACTCGGATACGGCCTAGAGTCAAAAGACAGTTCAGGGATATAATTCAGGTTAGAATTGCTTTCAGTATTAACAGGCCTTGCCTAGACTAGACACTAGTATCCCTTAATATTATATAACAAACAGAAAAATGACAAAGGGATGGGAGTGTAGCTCAGTGGTAGAGTTTGCCTTGTAAGCACTGAGGCCTCAGGTTTGATCCACAGCATGTGGGCATAAGGGAGCCACGGCATCCTTGGCAAAAGGGATGGGATAACACATGACTCAATAAAAATATAATTACGAAAATTGTATGAAACAGATAAAGTCTTTTCAAATTACTGAATTCAGTAAGTTTCCTGAGAGGAATATAAATTGGGCTCACATAACTTCAGCTGTTATTTTGTTTGTTTGTTTTGTTTTTCGAGACAGGGTTTCTCTGTGGCTTTGGAGGCTGTCCTGGAACTAGCTCTTGTAGACCAGGCTGGTCTCGAACTCACAGAGATCCGCCTGCCTCTGCCTCCCAAGTGCTGGGATTAAAGTCGTGCACCACCACCGCCCGGCAACTTTAGCTGTTATTAACTGTTCTATGTGGTCTATTCTTCAGCTTCAACCCACATACTAAGAAGTACCTCACTGAGGGCTTTGTAATTGTACATCTGACATCTTACGAGCTACAGTGCACTACTACAGACATTTAGGATCCTAAGGCATTTTCCTCCTCAATGCTTCAGATCCTTTCTCCCACCTGTATGGTCTCGACCCCCAGACTTCCTCATCTTCATTGGTTTAACTGTGTACTTGGTGCAACTCTTCCAGGACACAAACTTGGCATTAAGGTCCCCGGATGTATGCACTGGGCGGTGAGAAGGCAACACCAAGGCAGAGGGCTGTTGAAGAGCATTGCTCAGTATCTAGGGATAAGAAATATTCTCAGCAGCATCTCAGACCACTGCCCCCAAACTTCCAACCAACTTTCACAAATACCAGTGCAATATGTTTATCCAAGTGTGTGTGTGTTGTTTGTCCAGGTGTGTGGTAATCGTTTGGCCCTCTCCCCTCTGAAAAATTTCTTCCTGTCATCATCTTCCAATTTGTTTCAAGTTCTTGTCAGGAAACCTTTTCTTCCCTACAGAATTCCCTTTTCCAAAGCTGGTAAATTCCACACACTCACACACCACTGTCAGTACCAATGCCTTTTGCCCTTTGCATGTTTCCTGGAATTCCCACATATGAATGGAAATGATGACTCTGCTTTTCCACCTTCCACCTGCTGTAGTCCAAGGTCTTCAGAGTAGTTTGGTTTGTTTTGGAATATCAAATATGCATTTACTAAATTCTGTCGCACTCAGCCTGAGAACTTAAGAGAAGCAAGATTGGTAATTTCTCTTTTCTGTGATGCAGCATTGCTCACTGCTATTACAAATTCTGCATTCTCCAATCTCAGCCACAAGCCATCCTTACATTACGATGGTTAAGAGCACTGGCTTTGGGGTGGTTTAGTGCATAGCAGGAGTGCATAGCATGAGCAAGGTCCCAGGTTTAATTCCCAGCACCATAACAAAAACAAAAGGAAGCTCTGAACCCAGTCTAGCCCCAAAAAGTGTATGACCTTAGACTACTGACCAGTTTTCTCATCTGCAAAATGTGCATAGTAACTTGATTGAAAGGAGTTCGTTCATTGCAGCCGTCTACTTTGCCCGTTTACAGCGGGCACCTGTTTAGCAGAGATCTGCAAAAGCACTTAAGGCCCGTATCTCCTCTGAGAGCAACATTTATAAAGAGCAGAAGATGAAGGAAGGTTTACCCAGGTCACGTGATCGTGACTAGCCTCGCCGGATCACTGACAACCCGGGCGGAACCAGTCAAGCTCCCAGGTGAGTGGATTACCTGGGCAGCGGGGAGCAGAGTCGGAACCCGGGCGGTAACGGTCGGGGATGCCAGGCTCAGAGAGCGCAGAGCACTAGTGAGCGCGTACATGCCCAAGGGGTGGTCACACTCCTCGCAACTCTGCACGCTTTACCCTTTTGCAGAGCCTGATGCTCTTGGATGACGTTTCATTCCCGGCACTGTCGCTTTCAGATGACGCAAGAGGCGGGCCCCTAACTGGAGCGCCCCCGGGATACACACTTCCTTTCCTCCCTTAAAGAGCGAGTTCTCAGCCAATTATCGGCGGGCGCTGAGGTCGCGTGACTGGAGGACAGGCCCCGCCCCTCGGAGCCGTCAAAACAATTGCCTCGAGCGGCAGCCATGATGAATTTAAAGGGGCAGTCCCCGCGAAGGCGGCGGTCGGACCAACAGCCTGCAGGTGAGTCTTGGGGAGGACCCCTGGGGCTGAGGGTTAACATGGTACCAACTCTTACACCCACACTCCGGGGACAGATGAATAAGCCACTTCCGACCAGCCTCCCAAAACTCCAGGCTGACTAAAAAACTCCGCCCCCCGCGAGTCTTCCCCGCCCCTCGGCGTCCAGACGGACAGTAGGACAGCCTGCCCCGCCCACTGCGGGATCGCCTGACTCCATGACCTCGAGCTTGTCCGCTGTCCGGTCTTGACCGGCGACTCTGCCCTCACTCCTACCTTCCTGCCCTCAGTCCCTGCCTGCGTCACTGTCCTCAACCTGGGGCCTGCCTCCGCGCAAGTTAGCAACCTTAGGCACTCGTGAATTGCAGCCCCGGCCAGGGTAGCCGGCGCCCAGCGCCTTTCCCTGGGACCCCACAGTGCTTTCAGATCTGCTATGCTTTCCTGAACCATCCATCAGGCACTTGAGAGGCACCCTAAGGTACCGGTTAGGTGATCATGACAGACAAAGCCATGAAAGGAGCCTATTGCGGGAATCCAGGTGGGAATCCTCACCAGGTCTCCCTGCTCAGCCTTTCACAGGCACACCCTTGGCCGCAGGTCTCAGATTAAATCAGTCTTTCATTCCCTTATTGGGAGAAAGTAACTCCTCAGACCTGGAATGAGGAGACCGAGTTACGGAAGAAAGGACATTAGTACTGCTCTCTGAAGAACCTGTGGGCAGAAGGAGGGAGGGTGTTTGTCCTGGGTGGGGCCCCGTGCCGGTCCTCTGGGTGGCTGTGAAGTGGTGAGAGCGAGGGGGTGGGACTGCCGGACTTCTGGACTTTGGGCAGTGCAGATCTTTCTAAATCCTTAGCTGTAGTTGAGAGTTTCTTCCGGGCTCAGGCCTGGGAGCCGCCTGAAGCCAAGGGCTCTGCTCTTTACACAGGTAAGGAGACTTCAAAGATGAGTTTTGAGGAAGTAGGAAGACATTCTGAGCCCTGGCGGGGAGGGGGGTGGCAAGCGAGGTCTGAAGGTTGGTTAGTTGCAATGGAGCTAACCAGGTTGGGAGATGCTGGGCTTAGGTGCTTTGCTGACGCAGCCTGAAGACCTTCAGCCTTCCAGATTCCCTGTAATGAGGACTTCTGTTCCCCCCTCCTCTCTCTCTTTCTCTCGCTCTCTCTCGCTGTCTCCCCTAACCCTGAGTCCTGCCCCTCTACTGGGGTGCTGTTTTCTGCACAGATCCTGTTTTTTTTTTTTTTAACCCCGTTCCTCCGGAGTGCCCTCCATGACCCTTACAATGAAATGCTTCAGATGTCCTGCTGCCTTTCCCTAACCCATGCTCTCTTTCCACCTGCTAAGCCCTAAATTCCTCTAACTCGAAGCATGCCTGTTCATTCTACAGTCGAGTTATCTCTTCTCTCTCACCTTAGTTTTATGTTTACTCTTTCTCTTTCGTCAGCTCACCTACAGGGTCTCTCATACTCTTTTCCCTTTACTTAGATCCCTGACACCCTCTAACAGTATGACTTCCATCTTTACCAGCTGAACTCTGTGGTTTCTCCCTAGCCCGGGCAAGATCCCCCTTCCAGGATGTCAGGCCTGGTGTTGGGGCAGCGGGATGAGCCCTCAGGACACCGGCTCAGCCAAGAAGAGATCCTGGGCAGTACCAGGTTGGTGAGCCAAGGGCTGGAGGCCCTACACAGTGAGCATCAGGCTGTGCTGCAGAGCCTGTCCCACACCATTGAGTGTCTGCAGCAGGGAGGCCATGAGGAAGGGCTGGTGCATGAGAAGGCCCGGCAGTTGCGACGGTCTATGGAGAACATTGAACTGGGACTGAGTGAGGCCCAGGTAAGAGTTACAGGTGATGCCAAGTGTTCCAGAGTCCATAGAGGCTCGGTTAGCTGATGCAAGCTGGGGTCTCCTTGTCCGAGGAACTTAGATTTGTTTCATTCGTTAAATATTTATGGAGTGCCTACTGTGTGTCAACTCTTCTGAGTGCCAGTGATGTATCACAGCACACAACAGTACAATTCTTAGCCATCTTGAGGCTGATATTATAGCTGGGAGAGACAGACAGATAGGACATAGATAAATAAGTGAATGATTTACTGTGCCAGAGAAATCATTGCTAAGGACACAAAGATAAAAATAAAGCAAAGAAAGAGAGGATGCAGTTTTATATAGAGTGTACATAGAAGGCCTCATTCACAAGGCAACATTTGAGCGAAGACCTGAGGATAAGGGAGCAAGCCCTGGAAGAAACAGGTCCCAAGGAGGGAGGACAAGTGCAAGGGCCTTCCACTGAGCCTGGCTGGTGTGACTTTCTCAGCATGAGTGATGAATGAGGGGAAGAAGAGGGATGGCATTGGAGATGGGAACAGGTCATGCAGAGCTGGTAGGCTGTCCTAGGGTCTTTGCTTTTCCATTGAGAGACATGGGAGCTGTGTTCTAAGGAGTGATGGAATTCAGCCTAAGATCCTGTCTTGTGGGGCAGACAGTAGAGAGACCCGTGAGAGGCTGTTGTGTAGGTGGGAACTGGTGGTGTGGCATCTGATGAAAACAATGGAACTGGTGAAAAGAAGCAGGGTTTGGGGTATCTTTTTTTATTTAAGTCATTTGCTTTGTGTATATAGGTGTTTTGTCTACATGTATGTCTGTATAATATGTATGTGCCTGGTACCTATAGAGGCCAGAAGAGGCCATTAGATCCCCTCGGGCTGGAGTTACATACATTTGTGAGCTACCATGTTGGCACTGGTAATTGAACCTAGGTCCTCTAGAAGAACAGCCACTGCTCTTAATCACTGAGCCAGCTCTCCAGTCCAGTGGTTCTCAACCCTATGGATTGAAATCTCTTTTGGGGTCAAACAACCCTTTCACAGGGGTTACATATCAGCTATGTCGAATATCAGATATTCATGTTACAATTCATAACAGTAGCAAAATTGCAGTTACGAAGTAGCAATGAAATAATTTTATGGTTGGAGTCAGCACAACATGAGGAACTGTATCAAAGGGTCACAGCATTAGGGAAGTGAGAAGCACTGCTCCAGCCCCTCTGAGGATCTTTCGATGGTAGAGCTCTTGCCAGTCACTCCTGCTTGTTGCTTCCTCTATCCCTCTCCCGACTGGCCATCTCTCCTAAGGCCATCTCTCCCCTGAATGCTCTTATGTGATGTTCCCATGTAGGTGATGCTGGCTCTGGCCAGCCACCTGAGCACAGTAGAGTCGGAAAAGCAGAAGCTGCGGGCTCAAGTGCGGCGGCTATGCCAGGAGAACCAGTGGCTTCGAGATGAGCTAGCGGGCACTCAGCAGCGCTTACAGCGTAGTGAACAGGCTGTGGCCCAGCTGGAGGAAGAAAAGAAACACCTGGAGTTCCTGAGGCAGCTGCGCCAGTATGATGAGGATGGGCACAGCATGGTGAGCACGCACAACCAGGGTTTGCTGGGACCATGAGCAGCGCAGTTGCCCATCATCCCACAGGAAACATCAATGCCTAGCGTGTACCCGCTTGGAAGAATTTTATTTTCAGGCTTGACAGCAACTCCAGATGACAGCAAGGGGGAAATAATCTTGACTTGTCAACCTTAATTAAATGTTTACTCTCCTAGGGACTGGGCGGAAGTACTTGTTCTCACAGCTAAGAGTATGTGGAGCAAGGTAAATAGTCAGGCAACTGAAACCCTGAATCCTACAGGCTTTGGTTAGGGAAAGCATAGCCGATTTTGGCAGGAGACTCCCTTACAATTTTCTCTCAAACCGAATGCAGTTCAGCCCCCACTAGCAGGTGTTTGTGTACCCTGGGCCTTACGGGTGCAGAGGAGGCGATCCATGTAAAGGCACCTGCCTTCTCAAGCTTACAGTGTCTGTGCAGAGCAGGGCTCGTACACAAGGACACAGATGTGACTGGACAGAGCAGCAAGTGTACAGTCTGCATGTGGCCCAGTAGGCACAGAGGGACCTCCACAGAGATAGGTCCTGAGGGATGGTCAGAAGGGTTCCGATAGGAGGGAGGGTTCAGGATTGAGTAGCAGTTAGGGTGGTGGGTTCACCTAAATGAGTTAGGAGTTGTGCCAGATTTTGAAGGATCATGTGGGGGATAAAGGAGCTTTCTGGGCTGGAGGGGGATTACAGTTAAGGCTCCAGGGCCAAAGTGCTGTTCTGTCCAGGGACAGTGAAGAGATAATTTGCCTGGGACACACTAACAAACTGATAGGAGGGTTTGAAGTCTTTGTATAAGGTTGCCATCCCTGGTGGAGAAAAGTACATTTTCCATTGTGGAAGTGTGTTAGATAGTAAGGGCTGGGCCCTAAGCCCACACAAAGCAAAGGGAGATGGTGAGCCCAAGCTGAGCTAGACACATTGGGTACGTGTCAGTAAGAGCAGACATACTCCTTCCCCTCAGGAAAGACATATAATCAGTGTAAACACGCAGGGATTGCCACAGGGCTATAATCATCAGAGGTGAGTGTTAGAGACAGGGAGGCCACGAACACGGGTGCTGGGAAGAGAACTCTCTGGATGAGAAGCAGAGTCATGAGATTTTGTCTAAGACAGCCCATTCATGGCTGGGTCAGCTGCTGGTCTTTTCTAGGAGCAGAGGCTGGAACATAGTGTCTTTTTGGCCCCCTTGGTTGGTGATTTTGTTACTTACAAGAACCCCTGGAGAGGCGTCTAGGGTCTGGCATGCTGTCCCTTCTTTCTCTTCCAGGAGGAGAAGGAAGGAGATGTCACCAAGGATTCCCTGGATGACCTCTTCCCCAGCGAGGAGGAGGAAGATTCCAGCAATGGCTGTGAGTCTGCCTATGGGGCTGGAGGGTGACAAGGGGCAGCCGGAAGCTGCTTCAAGCCTTAGCCTGCTCTGAATAGGGACCTTACATCCACAGACAAGTTCTCCATTTCCTTTGGAGACTGGGTGGGTCCCAGGCTAGGATCTGAGTCCTCGCCGCCCCCTGCCCCCCATGCCCCTCAGCATTTAATAAGTATGTTGTACACTGGGAATACCAAGATGAAGAAGATGCTGGTTCCACCAGTAAGTTCACAGTCCAGTGGAAAATAACCCTGGGCTGGAGCTGCATGGATCCCCAAGCCTTTCATGCTTTTGCTTTGCTGGGCACCTTTAGCATGTGCTTACTGAGTAAAAGTTAATTGACTGACTTACTGGAGAATAAAAAGGTTTGTGATGGGCACAGGTGTAAGGCTGTAGGTAAAAGAACAGCAGTGCTGTCCAGTCTCCTTTGAGAACCTGCTGGGGTCTGCCATAGAGAAAGGGTGGATAGACGGGTGGACAGGAGGTAAAGGAAAAGGAGGAGTCCTCTGAGGAAATGCTCTGTCTTTTCTGTGATGAGTTAGTGTCCCGTGGCCAGGGTGCTGCAGCAGCCCAGCAGGCCGGATATGAGATCCCAGCAAGGTTGCGGACCCTGCACAACCTGGTCATCCAGTATGCAGCTCAGGGTCGCTATGAGGTGGCTGTGCCACTCTGTAAGCAGGCACTAGAGGACCTGGAGCGCACCTCTGGCCGAGGTCACCCTGATGTGGCTACTATGCTCAACATCCTGGCTTTGGTGTATAGGTGAGCACCACTTTCCTCCATTGTCTATAACAGCTCACTTCCTGCCTCCTCTCCTCTCTGCTGGACCTTCTCCCAGAGATACCTAACAAGGGGGTGTCCCCCAAACTAGAACCCTCACTTTCTTCAGTCCCAAACCATTGACATCAGAGAATACTCACCTCTCAGGCTCTTTGTTTCTCTGGCCTCTCTGGAGAGTGTGTGTGGGTCTATTTTGTTTGTGGCTTTCTCTTGGGATGGCAGTGTTCTGCAGCCAGGTGTGTGTCACGAAGCTTTATTCTTGCCCCAGCAGGCTTCCTGACTTCAAGCGAGTCCCAAATTTCTAAGTGTACCCCAATCCTCTCGAAGGGGGTGAAGGAGATGGTGACAGAGTACACACTAACCCTCACTATTTTGCTGCTTTCCAGGGACCAGAATAAGTACAAGGAGGCTGCCCATCTGCTGAATGATGCCCTCAGAATCCGGGAGAGCACCCTGGGCCGGGACCACCCAGCCGTCAGTATTCCTGGCCCACTCACTCCCCACTCATCTCTGTTGTCTTAGTCCTCTGTGTGCTGCCCTCAGCCCACTCAGTACCGCTACTTATGAAGGAGGCTTGAGAACGGTCAGGCTCTGTCTAGTGAGCTCAGTGTTTCTCAATTCTCTGAGACTCAACGACTCCTTTTCTGTTGCTTACTGAGTGTATAGCAATTGTAAATAACAGGTTTCTTTATGACATTTTCTTTCAAAAACCCTTTCTCTTCTATTTTACTTTCATGTGTATGGGTAGTTTTCCTGCATGTATATCTGTGCACTATATGTGTTCAGTGTCCACGAGGCCAGAAGAGGGCATCAGATCCTACATATGGGTGCTGGGAATTGAATATAGGTCCTCTGGAAGAGCATCTACTACTCTTAACCTTTGAGCCCTTGCTCCAGCCCGTAGTTAGTACATTTTATGTGTGCATATAAAATGCTCTGACCGAATTTATCTTTTCTAGTTCCTCTCTTTTCCCCCCTTTCCCTTGTGTCTTTTAAGGAGCTAGGGCTCGAACCCAGGGCCTTTCAGATGTTAGAGGAGCAGTCTACCACTGAATTTGGATTCAGTGAGTCAATACTGCTAGACCTTTGACTCTCTTTTGATGACAAATGTTTTTTTTTCTTTAAATTTAATTACGATTAATATATCCTATCTATACATGTGATGCCCCCCCCCCCAAAAAGGTAACAGGACTAAAAAGTAACTCCAATGAATATAAAAAGAGACAATGTAATTTTTTTTGGTGGGGGTGTTTCCAGACAGGGTTTCTCTATGGCTTTGGAGACTGTCCTGGAACTAGCTCTTGTAGACCAGGCTGGCCTCGAACTCACAAAGATCTGCCTGCCTCTGCCTCCCGAGTGCTGGGACTAAAGATGTGCACCACCACCACTCGGCTTGAGACAGTGTAATTTTTGATTACATAATACATACAATGCAATGTAAAATAAGAGCTGAGTACAATTATGCTAGAAGCTACAACAACATAATCTGATGTTTGACTTATTATAGAAGTGCTAAGACAAAAAGTGAGAGCTAACCAGGCAGTGGTGGCACACACCTTTAATCCCAGCACTTGGGGGTATAGACAGGTAAGTTCAAGGCCAACCTGGTCTACAGAGTGAGTTCCAGGATAGCCAGGGATACACAGAGAAAACCTGTCTTAAAAAACCAGAAAAAAAACTTTTTTTTTTTTTTTTGAAAAGAAAGAGTTGTGGGCTGGAGAGATGGCCCAACAGTTAAGAGAGTGTGCTGCTCATACAGAGGACCCCCAAGCCCAACACCCATGTTGGATGGCTCACAGCAGTCGGCATCTGGCACCTCTGGTCTCCACGGGTACCTGTGTTCACATGTACATTGGCACATATTAGGCACACACACACTTCATTAAGAGCTTTCTGAAAAGAGAAAGTTCTATATATAGCCTTGAGTAGGGACAGAGTGGCAAGCGTTTAACGGGTTGTTAAAGTTGAGAAAATGAGCAATAATGTCTTTGGAAATGAGATGACTTTGTGGGAGCATTTCTGTGTAATGTCACATTAGCTAGGCAGGGATGCTACATCTCAGCAACCCTGGGATTTTGACCTCTTCCCCAGTGATGCTGGTGCTTCTGCTCTGTGCTCACAGGTCCAGCAGGGCATCTCTAAGCCGCCAGAGCCCTAACACACACACACACACAGAGTAGCCACAGATTTCCTGCCTCCCTTTGGGAATAGCACTATACTACAGTCAGAAACCACCTGAAATTTTTAGAAATCCCTCTAGAGGGCAATACCCTCACCCTCATGGAGCTTCAGGCATTCTGTTTGTAGTTTCCCCCTTTCCAGCCTCTGGAACTGGTGGTAGACTATGTTCTTTTTAAAAAGAGGGGTGGGGGAGTGTGGGGGGGGGAGGGACAGAGACAGACACAGCACAGAGAGAGACACACAGAGAAAGATCTCAAGAGGTCAGAGGACAACCAACTTACTAGAATTGGTTTCCTCCCTCTGCAGGGTTGGTCTGCAGGCTTGGCAGCAAGCTGTTTCCTTGCTGAGCCATCTCACCACAACATGGAGTCTGTGTCTCTTGATGTTGGCTTGGGCTCTGCTGTGCATGGAGAGAACTGGAGATTCATTTGCAGCTCTGATGTGTGATGGGGGTTGTCCTTCCTTTGCAGGTGGCTGCCACACTCAACAATCTGGCTGTGCTGTATGGCAAAAGGGGTAAATACAAGGAGGCGGAGCCATTGTGCCAGCGGGCACTGGAGATCCGAGAAAAGGTGCCCACACTCTCCCTTTTCCTCCCCAGTCCTTTACTCTGCCCTCTACTGACTTAGCTCTTTCTTCTGCTCTTCATGTGCTTGCACACATGCAATCATAGTCACTTGTCTGCTCCTTTGCTGTTTCCCAGGTCTTGGGCACCAACCACCCAGATGTGGCGAAGCAGCTGAACAACTTGGCCCTCCTGTGTCAAAACCAGGGCAAGTATGAGGCAGTGGAACGTTATTACCAGCGGGCGCTAGCCATCTATGAGAGCCAGCTAGGGCCAGACAACCCTAATGTAGCTCGGACCAAGAACAACCTGGTAAGGAAGGAAGAGACAGGTGGTGGGAAGAGGGAGGGAATGGCCTCCCAGTGGGTTCTGGACTCAGAGGGCATCAGAATGGGGCACATCCTTTGCCAACTTTGTACCTGTCTCTAGGGCTGCCTTTGAGGATGAAGGATCTGCTTCATTCTGCTTCCTGATCCTACCGGGAGCTGGGTGGGAATAACTTTAGCCCTCAGCTATAACACGTTGAATGAGGAGGGTCTCAGGGACAGACATAAAGAAGTGGAACCCCCTGAGTCTGGCTGAGACCTGCTTCCTTACACCTCTTGCTCTTGTGTTTCTGTTCTGTGTCTCTAGGCTTCCTGTTACCTAAAGCAGGGCAAGTACTCAGAGGCTGAGACTCTGTACAAAGAAATCCTGACCCGTGCCCATGTACAGGAGTTTGGGTCTGTGGATGGTGAGTGGTAAGGTTTGGGAAGGGGGGCTTGATTGGGGGCCACACATGGGTTAGTGGGGACAGCCAGAGTCTGTCAGTCTTCCCCCATTGGCCTGGGGGTTCTGGCTTCCCACATAGTGTCCAGATCTGTTCTCTTACTCCCTCACTCAATATATCATCCTCAGAGGACCACAAGCCTATCTGGATGCATGCTGAGGAGCGGGAGAAAATGAGCAGAGTGAGTAGGGGACCCAGCACCTCTGGCTTGATCCTTGTGTTAGTTTACTACTCACCTCTTGCCCTTGCCCTCAATGTACAGTACCTTTCCCAACCTGGTCTGTACCTTAGCCCAGTGCCCACCTGCTCCCCAACATCTTTGTACTTTCCTCCCCAGAGCCGTCACCGTGAGAGCGGCACACCCTATGCAGAGTACGGAGGGTGGTACAAGGCCTGCAAAGTGAGCAGGTGAGCTGCCAGGGATCTGTTTAGTCTGGGCTGCTCCTCTGTCCAGGCTCTGGTTGCCAGAGCCTGCTTCCCTTTGACTCTCTCAGCCTTCTCTCTGCCCCTCCCGGCCTTTCTGTTCTCTTGTTTTTGTGGTGCTTGGGGTTATGTGGGGCCTGTGTACATTCAGCAAGTGCTCTACTATTGGGCTGTGTTCTCATTCCGTTTCTGCCTCCTGCCTCCTCTGATCTCCCTGCAGCCCCACAGTGAACACTACTCTGAGAAACCTAGGGGCTCTGTACCGGCGCCAGGGAAAGCGGGAGGCAGCTGAGACCTTGGAGGAATGTGCCCTGCGTTCCAGGAAGCAGGTCAGAAGCCCACAGCAGGGGGCAGTGATGCCTCTCTGTAATCTTGGCACTTGGGGTTCCAGGCTAGTCATGGTTACTTACAAGCACCTGGTGCTGTTGCACAGGGCCCAGGTTCAGTTTCCAGCACCCACACCAAGCAGCTCACAACTGCCTGTAACTCAAGTTCCAGGGGATCCAATGCCCTATGGGTCCCAGCATGCATGTGACACACATCATGCAGGCAGATACACACACACACATAAAATAAGATGAATAAATCTTCTTTTCTTCTTCTCAGACAGGGTTTCTTTGTATAGTTCTGGCTATCTTGGAACTCACTCTGGCCTTGAAGTTTGAGATCTACTTACCTGCCTCTGTTTTTCAAGTGCTAGGATTAAGGGCATGCACCACCACACCCAGCCAATAAATAAATATGAGAGAGAGAGAGAGAGAGAGAGAGAGAGAGAGAGAGAGAGAGAGAGAGAGAGAGAAAGGGACAAGGGACTACTGGGGTCTCTTGTGCACGTGCTAAGAGGGTGAGGGAGGTTTGCTTTTTGTTTTTGTTTTTTTGTTTTGTTTTGGTTTTTGGTTTTTGGTTTCTTGAGACTGGGTTTCTCATAGCTTTGGAGGCTGTCCTGGAACACAAAGATCCACCTGCCTCTGCCTCCTGAGTGCCAGGATTAAAGGCATGCGTCACCACCGCCCCCCCCCCTTTTTTTTTTTTTTTTTTTTGGGTGAGAGAATTTTGTGGCTATGTTTAAGAATGTTCTCACTCCAAACTTGCCATTTGTGTCATGGGACAGATTCAAGATTCCTTTCCCAGATGGTGTGGCTTGTGCCTCTAATTCCAGGATTCAGGAGGCTGTGAGTTTGAGTCTAGCCTGGGCTACATGATGAGTCCTAGGTTAGCTTCAGCTACAGAAAAACAAAACAGGGCTGGTAAGTTGGCTTAGTGGGTAAAGGAGCTTGCTGCACAATCCCGATGAGCTGAGTTCAATCCCCGGGAGCCACGTAAAAGTGGAAGGAGAGAGGTGACTCCACACAGTTGTCCTCTGAACTCCACACTCACACTGTAGCAATGTGTGTGTCTCTTTTCCGTCACACACAACAATAATGTAGTCAAGTGTGGTGGGTAAGTTGCGGGAGGCGACTGGGATGACCTAATTTGGGGAGGCAGAGATGAGAGGATCCTTGGGGTTTGCTGGCTAGCCAGTCTAGCCCAATTGGCAGCACTGAGTACAGTGAGACTTTGTCTCAAATGAAGTAAGGGAGGGCAATCCCTGCCCCCTGTAACAATGTACTCAAACACACACACACACACACACACACACACACACACACACACACTAGAAACCCAAACAACACAGAATGGATTCACTTCCTTAGATGGAACTGTTCTCTTTTACGGGGGTGGTGTGGATGGAGCAGGTGAGGTTCAGGAGACGCCCAAGTCAGAATTTCTCCAGTTACAGACCTCAGCCCATTCACTCTGGGACATAACTACACACAAGTCTATGTAAGGACACACTACAACCTCACAAGGAAAATACTGCCCAGTGCTCGTGTAAGGGGCATCATAAAGAGGGGAAATGCTGTCCTTGAAGTAGATATAGATAAAAGACCCAAAGACCCATCACAAAATTTAAGGAATATGAAGTCCCAGCTCCTTCCTTCTTTAACTATCTTATTATTTTATGTGTGTGGGTATTTTGCTTTCATGTGCACCTGTAGTGCACATGTATGTAGTGCTCACAGAGGCCAGAAGAGGCCACTGGATCCCTGGCTCTGGAGTTACTGCTATTGTGAGCTGCCATGTGGATTCTGGGAACGGAATCTGTTCCCAGCTACTGCTGTCCTCTGCTAGTGTTGGTGGTGCTTTATGGATGAGCCATCTTCCTAGCATCTCTTCCTCTTCCTTCCAGGGGACTGACCCCATCAGTCAGACCAAGGTGGCAGAGCTGCTTGGGGAAGGTGATGGCAGAAGGATTTCCCAGGAGGGCCCTGGGGACAGTGTAAAATTCGAGGGAGGTGACGATGCATCAGTGGCTGTGGAGTGGTCAGGGGTAAGTGTGCTCATGGCCGATGCCCTGCCCTGTCACTTCTTGCTGGCACTGAGAAGCTCTGAGGCTGTCTTTCTCCAAGTTTGTACAGGGGACTAGTCACGTTGTCCCCACCAGTTAGCCCATCCTTATCGGGTCGATCCCTGGGAATCTGCTTTTGACAGGGTTCTTGTCAACCACAGGACTTCAGGGATAGAAGGCATGTGCAGAATAAATGGCAGGAACAGGCTTGGAAGCCAGGCTACACGGAACCCTTTTTGTTCCCACTGCCCATCTCTTTTTGATAGGATGGCAGTGGCACGCTGCAGAGGAGTGGCTCTCTGGGCAAGATCCGGGATGTGCTTCGTAGAAGCAGTGAGCTCCTGGTAAGGAAGCTCCAAGGGACTGAGCCTCGGCCTTCCAGGTACATGACAAAGTTGATATGACAAAGCAGGCCAGCAAGCCCTTGCCTGCAGCTCCTCTTGGTGCTGGACAAATGTCCTAGAAGTGTCCTACATGGAGGGACAATGGGCCAGCCTCAGTTCTCTTATTCTCCCTTGTAGCAGCAACATGAAGCGGGCCGCCTCGCTGAACTACCTGAATCAACCCAGTGCAGCCCCACTCCAGGTAAGGAAGGAAGAAAGAAAGGAAGGAAGGAAGGAAGGAAGGAAGGAAGGAAGGAGGGAAGGGCTTCCAGAAGGCAGCTCCAGGGGCACCAGGGGCAGTGCAAGGGTCACCCATGACAAAGGAGACCTTCAGGAGTCTAGCTGACGGCATAGTATTGGAGGTGCTAGGTAGGCATCAAGGGATATTTTCAGATGCTGGGCATTGGTGGTGCATGTCTTTAATCCCAACAATGGGAGACAGAGGCAGGCGGATCTCTGTGAGTGTCAGCTTGGTGTACAGAGTGAGTTCCAGCTTGGCCAGGACTACACAGAGAAACCCTGTTTCGAAAAACCAAACACACACACATACACACAAAGACACACACACACACACACCCCACAGAGAGAGAGAGAGAGAGAGAGAGAGAGAGAGAGAGAGAGAGAGAGAGACACACACATG